CCCCAAAACCCCAAAACCCCAAAACCCCAAAACCCCAAAACCCCATAAAAGAAAAATTAGTTTGAAAAGATTAAAATTTATTACAACATTATTAATATGGAAATCGAGATTAATTTTAACGAAAATTTACCAGAAGAGATCCTAGATGAGAATATCTTATCATCAGAGATAAAAGATTCTTTGCACTTAAACTATTGCATCTCAAACTCGCCTTTTAAGGTTAATAAAAGGCATAAAAACTTTGTAGAAGCAGATTCTTTCTCTTTTGGTGAAAAACGCTGAATTCACTCAAAAAGAGGTAGTCAAATTGAGCATAAGCATCAGAATATCAACTTAAGCAAGATATGAACATCATCAAACAACTCTGGAAGGAAAAGTCTTCAGGATGAAATTAAAGATTTGCTCCATAAGGCGATTGAGATCAGAGCCAAATTTTGATATGAATCTGACAGAGATATCTGTCTGAAACCTATAACCCATAACAGGAGCAGCTTATGTTCTCAAGGTGGCCATTCTTCCCTCAAGAACTATCAAGAGGAAGATAGAAGAGAGATGACGATGAATGATATAGAAGGCTCACCTTGCTTCAAACATGCTTAATTATCTAATAATTGTTCTATAACTAATTTAACCTACTTACTTCTATGGAACTCCGAAAGGAAATTTCTTTATAGAATACTTCAATCCTGATCTTACTTCCCGAAGACAAGACTATTTTTATAAGAATTCTCAAAATGTGTAATGATTCATGAATCAAAAATTATTTAAATTAAATATGAATTTAGTGAAAATTTAAGACAACTTCTTTGCATAAAATTGTTTTCAATAACCCTTGCTAGTCACACATGGTTTGATTTAGGACGACCACATGGCCTCAATTCATTCTCATCTCCAAATAACTCAACCCTAATTTCCCCTTTCGCTCATATGTGGATCGTTTGAGAACATTTAAAAGAAGAACTAGGTTATAGAATAAAATTATTTGAATGGAGCCAGCTGATTTCTTGCCTACAGTAAACGTCATTATCTTGCTTCATGAATAATGAATCTATCATGAAAGGCTCATTCTCAGAGAAACAAAATTAAAGTTTTAGCCAATTTTCTATTAAGCGTTCTTTTGGAATTTTCCTCTTTGCGATATAAGTCAAAGCTAAGAGTTTCTGAATTATGAAGAGTAGATAGGTTACAAGAGCATTTCTCTCTAATATTTTTGGAACTTCATGGCTGATATTATCCAAATCAGGACTTTAATAGTTATATTTCAGCGATGAAATCAAGGATATATTTAATATGCAATGTTCAAAGATGTCTACTAACCAAGGTAACATCAGCAAGGTGTTAGAAATACTACGTTTGGTAGATAAAAATAACTATTATTTGAGTGAATTTTATTTAAAATAGCCTTCAAATCTTTAAGACTGGGAAAATAAGTTGAAGCATATTGTGAGAGATGATTCGCTGAGAAATAGGACTCTTCAGTCAATCAGTAAGCTTATTTTATGATAAGTATTCGAATGTTTGCAACAACCGATTTCTCATATTTTAATGACTTCGAAATTTCAACTGTTAGATTTAGATTAGGGGTTTTGGGGTTTTGGGGTTTTGGGGTTTTGGGG